AATGTCTCGTTCATGTCTCGTGAATGTATACATGTCATATTATGTATTTTCCGCTGAAAAATATTTCCTCGCATATGTATATATATATATATATATATATATATATATATATATATATGAGAAAAAGTTAAAAATGCAACAATATTTATTTCATCAATGTTTACTTACAGCAGCTTTAAAGGTTTGACAACTCTGTAATTTAAAAAAAAATTAAATTGTGATAGACAGACGTGTGGCTATGCCATGATGAGTTTCGCATTTGACCGTAATTGGAGAATTCTATCCGTTTCATGCAGAAAATAAGGTGGCTTCCATTACTATCTCTTTGAAATGCATTCTGATTGGATGATCATGATGACGTGTCAGGCGTAGCAATTTTTGAAATCATAAATAATCATAAGATTTTATCTCCAAAAGTTGAGTGCGTAGCTAATGAGAGCCTTGACAGGTGCCACTAATTTTGGATAATTATCAAGTGCTGACAAACGGTGACAGTCGTGGCAGGCATACAAATGTAAAAGGAAGAAATACATATCTATAAATATGTATATATGTCTGTGTGTATGTGCATCAGTGTATTATAAAAATATAGTTTTAAGTTATGCTCTATTTATGTGTAAAAGTGCTCAGTATCAGGTGTAGAGCATATATAAACATGGAAGTGGACACTGAGTTTAAAACTTAGCGGTGATTCTCTCATACTTCAAGGCAATATTAAAGCCAAATGACATGATGCTAGGATTAATTGCATTATCTACTGTAGTTTTTGCAACTGAATTATTCCGTATAATCATCTCTCAAATAAATGTCACCATTTTTCTATCCAATATTATGCACTTTTTACGGCAGTAAAAAAAAAGGAAATGTTCTCTGCTGGCCTGTCCATATTTTTTTTTACTCTTGCATGGAGTATTGCTGCCAAATATGGTCTGGAGCCCCTTCTGTTTGCATCGGGGTTCTTGATAGGCTCCAGAGGCGGATATGCAATATAATTGGCCCTGCTCTGGCATCTCGTCTACAGTCACTCTCTCACAGACGCGCCGTTGCCTCTCTCTGTCTGTTTTACAAATACTTTCATGGTAATTGCTCCGATGAGCTGCTTTCACAGGTTCCCAGACTTTATGAATTCAAGCGTCCTACGAGGCTGGCATCCCGATCTTACCCTTTCACTGTAGAAACTTTTAAATGTAGTCGTCTCTTCTATTCCAATAGCTTCATATCTCGCACCTCTCGCCTGTAGAACACCCTTCCCAATTACTGTTTCCCTGATAGCTATGACCTCCAACTATTCAAATGTAATGTCAATTGACATCTCCAGTTATCTTGATCTATCCACTATCCTTCCCCTCATCCTTTCTTCTATCACTCCTATCTGATCTTCTGTAACCCCTTGCTTCCTAGTGGCTTCTCGCCTTGCTGGGGTGAAACGCTTAAAAAAAAAAATACTTGAGTAGTATTATATAGGAATAAAGTGTCGCTTGAATTTGAACATAGATCACCAATGAGGAAACAATGAGGCAATCCGGTTATTGGATTAAATGGACCACGTGACCATAAAGGAAACACATACGTAGGAGGTTGCGTGAAGTCTAAACGATTGCTATATTTCTACACTATCTTCTATTACTATATGGACCGCTATTCTATACACTATACTATTTTACTATATAGATTACTATTCAAGAGAGTATTATCGAGCAAGTACTATTAGTGCGTTATTCGAAGGCGTCTGACACCAGTATTGTTCAACGGCGTTACTATAGTTGTATCTGCGATTACAAAGTCTCTACTACAACAAGCATTACGAAAGTGACAACGAGTACTTGTTGGCATTACAAAAGAGGCAACGAGTGTTCGTTGGCATCACAAAAAGTAGACGTTCCGTTTATTTTTAAACATTATTTTATTTCGTTTATCTTCCTGAACATTCGAGAAATTAAAATAATCCACCCTCCGGCAGGTGTGTTCTCCTTTACAGCAGAAAATTTCGTTTGATCCGACGTGCTTTTGAGCACTCGGCTACGGAGGCCTTCATAATCAAGCAATGTTTAATTTGCCTTTAAAGCAAATTATTATGCATTCACCTGGAGCCACCACTCACCAGATTTAATCCTCAATTAGCCTATATGAAACATGCGGAAAACCTGAGAATTTCCCCGATAGATTTGATCACTACATCGCATATCTAATGTTAGTAAGGCCATGGGAGAAACTAAACACCAAAGTTAAGCATTGTAAAGTCCTGTCAGTACTTATATGAGAGACCGCTCGAGAACACCGTGTAACTGTAAGCAACCTCCTACAATCCGAAATGTTTCGTATTTAAATAACCTTCAAAAGGTTGATAATCCGTAAAAGAAGATCATTCAAAAATGCTACATTTAGAGGTGCTGTTATACAATAATGGGATTGTTTCCCCTTGATCGTTCGTATACTTTTTTTGATTGTTCGTATACTTTTTCTGATTGTTCGTATACTTTTTCTGATTGTTCGTATACTTTTTCAATGGTTCCAGTAGTTTTGGATAATTATCAAGTGCTGACAGACTGTTCTGGTTTTATATCTCTCGAGGCAGTCATTCTAAAAGAAATGAGGAAATGTTATATTTAGCTGTCAGCACCTAATAACTTTATAAATCAGTGTGAATTCTTTTCTTGCTTGTTTTCCCATGATGCCTTATCCACTTCTTGGCATCTCTTTTTCGGGATTTTAAAAATCTATTTCCGGAAGAAGTCATATTTTTAGATAACATAAAGCATTTTAGTCCCATGCCGTCAGCAGTATCCGATAAAGACCGTAGTGAAAGAAAAAACAAAAACAAAAAGCCTAAAATGTCCTAAAATGTAAGATTTCTTTTTAAATTTAAGACTGTTAAGACATAATTCCTTAAAATAAATTCTATAAATAATTAATTTCAAACTGTTTTTATCGCTCTGCATACAACTACATTTCCAGATTAATTGTTAAAAAAAGCTTATAGATTTTAGCGAGGACTATCCTTCTTCTAACCTTGTGGACTGGCGCTGCATAATCACAAACAAAGAACGATACCAAATAACGGAAACCCCATCCTTTGAGGGCTTTGAGCAGTAGTTAAAATCACATGTAACGAGAGGGTAAAATACTGACATAATCATTCTTTTGAAGTTTCCCACCACTTCAAAGATAGGATTATGAAGAAAAAACCCCATTAACACAGGGAAGATTAATAACAGTTACCCGAGTTGAGGAACCTATTTTGCTGGGGAAAAAAAAATAAAATAAAACTTTTTTTTTATAACTTTCACTCGAGACTCGTACTTGCTGCTTAGTCAATTCTTTATAAGGAAATGGTTAATATTACCATTACTGATACCATGAGATGTGTTCAAAAATATCGTAACTTGCAAGGAGCTGGCTGCTCGGAACACCGAATATTTCCTGTTAAGGAGACGGCTAATATTACTATCACAATTAGAGAAAAGGAGAACAGATACTACATTTTGATCCGAACACTTGCTCAAGGAGAGATTAAAAGCGCAACTCGAATAGCACTGGTTGCTCAGTCAACGAATGATGAATGATTCCTTATATGGAAAATGCTAATATTACCATGGGCATTACCATCTTATTTTTTGATTCGTTTTTACTTTCTTTTTCTGGCAAAAAGAAGTAATATCTAGCGAGATTTGATCTGGCGTCTGTTAAACATGAATATTATATGAATTACATACATACATACATATATATATATATATATATATATATATATATATATATATATATATATATATATATATATATATATATATATATATATATATATATATATATATATATATATATAACTAGACTCGTTTCGAAAAACCCTCAATTTTTGATTTGCTAATCAAATCAATCTCGAGGGAAAAAAAATTTTAAAAAAACTACAAACATGGACTTCTGCCGACAAAAAAATCGCACAGATGCAGGTCTGAAGCCCAAAGAAAAAACCCCGATACGAGTAACATTATGTAGACATAAAAAATCTTGGCTACTAAATTAGACGTTTTCCCGTTATTGACTTTCCACTGAGTTTTTTTTTTGTTGAATAAATATTTACCCCCCCCCACACACACACACACACACTTAGGTTGTTTTTGGGTTTTTTTTGTCACGTGGTATGATTTTAGCTATCACCTATAAATATGTGTTTCTCTTTGCCTCGTTAATAAACTTTCCCTGACGATCCGTTTAGGTGAAACCTAGGTAGGTTTGTCTGGCTCACTAGGTATATATATATATATATATATATATATATATATATATATGAATTATTATATTATTCATTTTCAGTCCGCACTATTATTGGCTGTATGTTGGCGCTTTGGTTCGGTTGATGATATGCACGAACGTGTAAATAACGAGAACATTCATTTTAAAGGGTACTTTTTATCCTTATTTTTGTACGAATCTTATTCAATATGATATCCTAACGAGATATTGTCTGTTTGAAATAGATGAGAATAATTTAAGGATAAAGCAGTAAAAAATAAATATCTCCAAAAATTAAAAAAAAGCCAAAAAAAACCCAAAAAAACAAAAAAAAAACAAACATCAAAATCGTGACCACACTGTTTGTTAGAAATATATCCTAGTTATGAAATACGATTTATTTGATAGTCAAGAGCTGACGACCATAAAACCTGTGGGTAAAAAAGAGAAACAGGATGTGGCGGTGTCTTTTTATTGGGCCGTGAATTGACGAATAAGTACATGGCAAGAAGGAACAGATTTCCTGTAAAAAAAAAAAAAGAGTGAAAATCTGCGCCACGTAGGGAAAGTATCTGCCATTCTAGGATAGGGGAGTTTTCTGTCACTCACTAGTGTTTCAACGTCATTGACAAGTAACCGGTAAAATTTTCCTACTGGAATAAAATTCACCAATAAAGAACTGCTGTCTCCTTGCTGTATCGAGCCATGCGAATTGCGGTCTCGTTGCTGTGTCGAGCCATACGAATTGCGGTCTCTGCTGTGTCGAGCCATACGAATTGCGGCTTCCTTACTGTGTCGAGCCATACGAATTGCGATCCCGTTGCTGTGTCAAGCCATACGAATTGCGGCTTCCTTACTGTGTCGAGCTATACGAATTGCGGTCCCGTTGCTGTGTCGAGCCATACGAATTGCGGCTTCCTTACTGTGTCGACCATACGAATTGCGGTCTCGTTGCTGTGTCGAGCCATACGAATTGCGGCTTCCTTACTGTGTCGAGCTATACGAATTGCGGTCCCGTTGCTGTGTCAAGCCATACGAATTGCGGCTTCCTTACTGTGTCGAGCTATACGAATTGCGGTCTCTGCTGTGTCGAGCCATACGAATTGCGGTCTCGTTGCTGTGTCGAGCCATACGAATTGCGGTGTCTTTGCAATAGCAATTCTTTTTCTTCTTGATGCTCAAAAGAAAGACCTAAGCTGACGACTACAACGACGATGACTTTTTTGTAGATATCGTTGCAGAGAAATCGTAATAATTTTCAATACTTTCGCCACTTTATTAAATATTTGCTTGGATTTAAACTCTTGAAAATGTCCGCGTGCCCACGCACACCTGAGAATGAAAGCTAAAATCGAGTAATGAACAAAATTCATTCCCTCTGCAAATAATGACGTAACTGCATATAAAAGATCATTGCTGACAAGAAAAGCAGAGTCTTTGTAAAGAACAGCGCGCGTTTCTGTGTATTTATATGCCGTGAGCGAAGACAAGAAGACAGGACGGATGTTTGGTTAAGATTTTCAAGTGGCCACGTGATACATTTACTCGAAGTTAGGTGCTTGAAAATTTTTCATTCATTCGAATAAAAGAAATAGAAAAAAGAAGATCATTTAAAAGAATATATTTCAATCAGTAGAACACGCAAATGTTTACTCTCGAAAGAACTACAAAGTATTCATAAATGGTTCTTCTATATATATATATATATATATATATATATATATATATATATATGTGTGTGTGTGTGTGTGTGTGTGTGTGTGTATTTCTGAAAAAAAAAGTTAACATCTTCAAATATGGATTTCCAGACAGTAATGCAACATCTACTTGTTCCTATTAATGTTTGACACAAGGCCACGAGTACCAGGTACACAAGAGGATAAAACTTACTTACGGGAGGTAACGGCCAAACCATTTCTACACACCTATATCACGAAAATATTAATTCCCAATGCTTTGTACACTTACTGGGACTGAAGCTCACCCCATACCTCAAGTGGAATTTGTATATACGATCCATCGCTCAAAGTGTTGGAAAAACGGACTGTTATATTATCACTCCAGTAAGAATCTGGTTCCTTTCTTTTCATGCTAATGTTCACCCGATGCAAAGCCAAAGAGTCAATCACTGTAGAGGCAATGGCAAACGGAAATTTTGAACAATGTTCAAAGACCGGCGAAACCTACTTATACTCTTAAATATCCACAAAAAAAACGGATACTGTTCAAGGCTTTATTATCAAAAGGTGATCCTTTAACATGCATGATGTTAAGGAATCGACCGTTGATAATACATCCTTGACAGTATCCGTCCTACATAGATGACGTTTTGTTATGAGATTCGAGGTAAGCAAACCTTTACTTATAAGAGGACTCAATGCAAGGTTGAAAGGAGAAAAGACAGCTAAAGATATAGAAAAACCTCAGAATCAAAGAGATACCAAAATTTGGTTTGTGCTGCAGCAGACAACGGAAGGTGAGACACAGGAATCCCAAAAGCCTGTAGGAATTGCGAAAAAATACTTAAAAAATACTGCAAACGTTAATTGAGTGAAAATAAATAGTAGAAGGGTTGCTACCGAGTTTAGAAGCGTTTGCTTCCCCGATGACTATGTGTTATTCAGATGACGGTCGTCTTCGAGTATAGAATTCAGAGGTTAGCAGTGAATATTTCGGAGACAGTAGGAAAGCGTAGTTCAGGTTAGCAGTGGATATCGCAGCAAAGTAGCAGAGCGTAGTACTGCCTTCTGTTCATCTTCGCCTGACAAGTTGGTACTGGTTATTCGGATAGAGTGAACAAAATGGCCGCCTTTATACACGACGAATTGAATGTTCTACGTCTTCTGATTGGTTAACTTTCTATTGCTGGACTATAAAGTGAGTCCAGGCATTTGGACTAACTCACTAGTTATATATATATACACACAAAAAAACTGTAACACTATGATCTTCAAATATTTAAGTGTAATGTCAATCGACATCTGACACGCTGTGCTTGTTCCTCGTCCTTCTCTGAATCCTTTCCTCAAACACGCCTCTTTACTCAGTCCTCTGGAGCCCATTACGTTCTAGTGACACTACAGCCTTGCTTGGGGTGAATTACTTTAAAAAGTGCTGTTCAGATAAACCAAAAATATTAAAAAAATATAAATAGTAAAACTAATGTAAAGTGCGTACAATTTTTTTGTTAAGCATTTAATCCCATGCAATGCAATAAAGCCACTAAAACGCAAAGATGATACTGAGTGGGAAATACTGTGAGGAAAAGCAACAACAACAACAAAAAAACAGTATTAAGGAAAGAGAAGAATACATTAAGAAGATAAAAAATAATGATTGATATTGCATTTAAAATTTTGAAGATCAAAGTAAACAGAAAAGCAAAAAAACGGAAGCCAGTTCTGAGATCAAAATTTGGTGAAAGAAGAAAATTTTCGCGTAGAACTTGCGGTTACGTGTAGCAATTTTAACTGTGAAATGATGAGACCTAGCTGCCAATTTAGTACTGAGTTTATATTCGTAAACTCTACGAACGAAAGAGTAAAGCTCATCGGAGCAATTACCATAATACTTATATAAAAAGACATTGGGAAGCGATGTTACAACGGTGGGAAATTGACTGAGTCGAAACGCCAGATCAGGACTGATAACATTGCAAATTCTTTTTTGGATTTTATCTTGAATCTCGAAATAGAAGCAACAGACGAGATATGATAGCAATATTCAATGTCTCTCTCTTGTTCCTATTTTTCTTACGTGCTTTGTCCCTGATATCCTTACCGCTCGTCGATTGCATTACGACTCTGTTGCTTCACTTCTTATCTTTAAGTAAATTGTCCAGCATCCATTATATTTATAGGATATTAGATATTATATAAGAATTCAAACTTCTTTTCTTTCTTTCTAACAAAATTTTTCTGTATCTTATTATTTTATTTTGTATCGGGATGCTACCTTTTGTATGCGCCGTTGTATTTCTCTGTTACGTTTTCTATCGTTTCTTAGGATGCAAAGCACATATTTAAATTTCTGCACTAGCTTAAAATTGACGTTCCCTATATGGAGCTGCCTCTTTTGCTAGCGACTATTTCACCGGTATTCATTTGTAACCAATCAGAAAAAAAAAAGAAATAGCCATTCTTCTAAAAACATATAAGACGGTAAAATCGCTGGGCATAAGACAAAAACGATTACCCCAAAATCTCGTGCTCATCAATCGCGTATTCTGGGGTGAAACGGATGGTGTTTCTGATGCTGCTGGGCATGGCGATTTGGAGGACGTGAATGGAAGCAATTTTGCGATACGATCGCTGTTCTCATCAGGGTCTGATCAGATTCTTCCAGCATTTACTCAGTATGAAGATTAGAACTGATAGAAAGCGGTTGGTATGGACAGATTTCAAAGAAAGACTAGCAGCATGGCCCGGCGTTGCCCGTGCTTGATTAAAAAATCTTACGACTCATACAGCAATCGCTATCACTTGACTTAAAATATTTTTGCCCTTCCTTACCTTTAAAGGAGTGCCCTTAGCCGTGCTGATGTTGCTACATGCCTTACTTCTTGCCTATCTCACACTGCAAATTTTTTCTTAGCTCTATACTAAACATTAAATCTGTTACGAAAAAAGATCTAAACAAAATGAACACAAAACGATCAGCTTTAAAAAGACTCGTAACTGGAAAAAAAAACTGAATGAAAAAAGAATGTTAACAACAAATACTTTTTCACACCCAACCCAGTTCTGCGGAATCAGAATCAACATTGAGTTTAAGCAAGCGAATGAGCCAATTGGAATAAAGTGCCGTGCAGATTTAAATTTTTCCCACTTGTGACGAATGCAGCTTTCGAATTTTTTTGCATGCTAGCATGCTAGTTAACATTCGTGTCAGTCAGCGGTTGGCTCTCACGCTGGCCAATAGAATCTTCCTGCCTATTCGTGGCAGCCAGCTATAGGCTCTCACTCTGGCCAGTAGAAAATGGCCGCAAACTACATGAAAGCTGCCGTAGTAGTATGATTATTTCCACTATCGATGAGAGTTGGGAAATGCAAAGTCAGTCTTGGCCTTTCTACTATCTTGGAGCATGTGCATGTAAATTTTGGTGCAAATCCGTCGAAAATTGCGGTCGTGCATTCGTTACACACACACACACATACACACACACACACACACTCACATGCTGCCTTTTATAGATAGAGATGGGTAAATTTGGCGAGCCTGAATTTGCCTGAAGGGGCTAGCTTTGATTTTCTTTTTTAAAGTCCTCCTAATCACAACGGGGCAGCTTCTTGTGGAGCCGTCCCCTGATTAAGATAGACTGTTCCCAGTGTGTCTCCTTATATTCTCTTAGGCGCGAACACTTTTGAGAATGATCTGAATCCACCTCTTCTTGTCCAGGCTATAGGATAAATTGTAGGAATTGTCTCAGTAAATAATTAGTATCTCCAAAATATTCTTACATTCTAAAAATAATTTCTGGCTTTAAATAACCTGCAAAGTGTGGTTAACATGTAAAAACAATCAATCAATCTGTAGATATAAGCAAATAACAAAGTGAATTAAATACTTAAAAGTCCCAAACTGAACACTGCTTTCTATCCAAGACTTCCCAGTCATTTATTTGAAGCGTTCAGTTTCTAGCACTATAAGAAATCACCATATGGTTTCTTTTGAAAAGCCTTGACTCGAAATTGGTGAGTTCATTTATCGAAAACATCTAATGAGATCAAAATACTTAAATATCAAATTAGGTAGAAACAGTTTATTTTTATTCATGTGCGTTGCCTTATCTTTGAAAACAAATTTGAGGAAAAAATAACTTCTTTTTTTTCTTGTTAATCTAATCAGAAATTCTGTTTTTACAATCAAATAAGATTTTTTTTTCCAAGCTGAAGAATTCTAAGAACAAAAATAATTGTTTCTGTGTTATTTTTACATCGAGGCAGACAAACAATTTTTATATCATTAACAACAAAAATAACAGAAGAATTCAATACAATTATCCATAGGGAAGACAGTTGCTAAATGCTATACATAATTTATTAGGGATAAAGTTTCCGCGAACGCTAACAAGAAAACTGACAATTTCTGGGATCAATTTTCAAATCAGTGCACAAGTATTTTTTTCAGCCATCTATTCTTTCTTTCTTTCTTTCTTTCTTTCTTTCTTTCTTTCTTTTGTTGTACCTTTCTCGTCTTCCAGAAATGTGCTTTTTTCTCTCTTCGTCTTTAATTTTCTTTCTCTACTTTCTGAAATTTCCTCTCCGTCCTCTTCTTTCTTTCTTTTTTTCTTTTGTTTCAGAAATGTGCTTTTTTCTCCTCTTCGTCATTTTTTCCCTTTCTTTCAGTCATTCTTTCTTGTCTTCTAGAAATATAATTTTCTTTTTCTTTGTCTTTCACTTTTATTCTCGTCTTCCTGAAATGTGTTTACCCTCTACGTGCTTTAATTTCTTTCTTTCTTTCTTTCTTTCGTTGTACCTTTCTCGTCTTCCAGAAATGTGTTTTTTTTTTCGTCTTTAATTTTCTTTCTCTACTTCCTGGAATTTCCTCTTAGTCCTCTTCTTTCTTTCTTTCTTTCTTTTGTTCTAGAAATGTGCTCTTTTCTTCTCTTCGTCTTTTCTCCTCTTTCTTTCAGTCATTCTTTCTTGCCTTCCAGAAATATACTTTTCCCTTTCTTTTCTCTTTGACTTTTATTCTCGTCTTCCTGAAATGTGCTTACCCTCTTCGTGCTTTAATTTCTTTCTTTCTTTCTTTTTTTCTTTCTTTCTTTCATAAAGTTGCCTCTTTTTTTCTCTCCGTCTGCTTGATTTGTTTTTAATCTTTTCTTTCTTTTTGCTGTCCCAGATTTGTCGTCCGTTCTGAGCCTTTACACCCGACATTGACGATTGATTTTTATATTTGTTTTGCATAACGCATGCGCATCTTCTTGAAAGACTAGTGAGGTATTTAGCGACACGCAGCAGAAATTACTACTGCAAGAAATTACGGTGACGGGGACCATATCAGCAAACTAATAAAGGATTCATTCACTAACACATTCACCAATAACAAATACAATACAGAACCACACACACACACACACACACACACACACACACACACACACACACACACACACACATATATATATATATATATATATATATATATATATATATATATATATGCCAGAATAAACAAACAATGAATAATTTGTTAAAATCGTACAGGTTAAAAGTGCTCAGTTTCAAGTATGAAAGATCAAACTTGCAAAGCGATTTAATATCTTAAAAAGATAAAAATGCTGACCGCGGTTTCGACTGCAGAGGTATCGTCAGGTGGTATGTTTTGCGAATCAATCAGAGGCAACGCCCCAAATTAAATGCCTTCATTCGACTCCGGAAGTGACGGTGGTAGTTTATGGAAAAAAATCATTATTCCCACTTTATCCACGTTCTTATAGTTTCAAAATGAACATTCTGACGTGCCTACATTTGGCCATGATCTCAGACTTCATTCCGTTCAACAACTAAGTGTCAGCTTTGTATGTTGCTATACCTAGCTTCTCCTCCTGACACCGACTACACGAGATGCCATTCACTTTGTAGGCCTTTACATTTCGTAAAATACTCCATTTAATGGCTAGGTTCTGTTATGCTTAACCCTAAATTTCCAGTAGTGGTTTGCCTGCTTCATATTGAACTTGCGTTCTGGAATTCTAAAAGATGACGTATGGTTACACCACCTCTTCTTAAACTGGCCCTCAGTGCAACCAATTTGTATATTTTGCACTGCTATTGTCACTTTCCACCTCGGTACAATACACGGTCCGTTCTGTACGACATATACCATTTAATGAACAATTATTTTTTATCTGACAATTACAAAGGAAGCTATTTTCACCTCCCACGTCCTCTTCAAGCTTTGAATTTTTTTGTTCAGTCTTGATGGCATTGCCTATCTTGCTAGTGCAACTATAACTCAATTTGGCTGTATTTCGGTTAAATAACCTATACAGTCCGGACGCTTTTGGGACGTGCTTATTTAGTAGATGAAAACCATCGTCCCTATATTTGTTTTTATGTGTATGTAAAGGGTGGGTTGAACCTGATGATGTTCTTTTCTTCTTTTTCTAATATTTTTTTGTTCTTTGATTTGTTTGGTCCTTGAAACACAAGTTAGCGTTATACCCCTTCTATCTCAAGGCAGATACATATATTTTCTTCTTTTCGTTGAATATGTCTTCATTTGGAGAATTTTTTGACAATCTGTATTGTACGCCTAACGACATATGTTTATTATACCTTACGGGTGTTTGGTTGCCGTAAAACCGTATTAGGTTTCATGAAAGGTGAGATAGAAAATTTCAGATCTGTAAATATTCTGGGTAGCTTTTTCCTAATGGGATCGTTGTTTCTTCTGGTATCCGGTACCACCATCAGTCCATCATCTCTGTATATTCCAATGTCGTCGATGTGGACGATCTCATTTATTTTAATTAAGATATACAGTGCTGTTTGATGAAAGTGACTCACCTGATTTTTTTTTACTAAATGTTCTCTTCTCCGATGAAAATAAGTTGAGCTAAATTCAAAGGATAAGCGATCTAAAATCCGAAGAAGAAGCATTGAAAGCTCTTCGAATTTAGCAGTAAGCATCCGTTCAGTATAATGTTCTGGGGATGCTTTTCTTTTCATGGAACTGGTTTCTTAAAACCTATTGAAAAGACCCTCGGGAGCGAGCAGTACACGAGAATATTAGTGTCTTGTCGGCTCCCTTCTGCTGAAAGGGTGCAAATCGACCCCACCAAGCTCATTTTTATGCAGGATAATGCTCCCTGTCACAAATCAATATTGATGAAGGAATACTTTGATGAGAAGCAGGTCAGTGCTATGACATGGCCGCCCCAATCTCCTGACCTCAACCCCATAGAAAACTTATGGAACATTATAAAAAAAACAGGCTCACGACGAAGCAGTTGAGCAACAAAGAGGATTTGATTGTGAATTTCATATCCGAACGGAATTCAATGCTTGGGGATGAGATTTACCAGAACCTAATCAAGTCAATGCCAAAAAGGGTTGAAAAGGTTATTCAAAATAAGGGAGGACTCATAGATTATTAAATATTTCGAACTATATTACCTATTATAAATAAATTATACCTCTATTATTTTTTATTTAAAGCTGTTTGGTTATATTTCTATTGATAACTAATTGCAGGAAATAAGTGAGTCACTTTTTTTGCATAGAGTTTTTCCCTAAATCTCATTTATATCCAAAATTATAATTATCAATAGAATAACTTAGAGTGAGTAAACGTTTTTTACGAGGTGGTCGGGAAGGGGTCTTTATATTAGTAAGATTAAAAATTAGTTTAACCCCAAAAACAATTGGCGAGAAAGGTTTTCAGTAAAAAAAATCAGGTGAGTCACTTTTATCGAACAGCTCAGCCACCGCTGCCCCATCGAATGATCCCCTTGGTGTCATCAAAACTACCAGTTTTAGATTTTGTAATTCATGCTTCACCACTATGAAATAGAATTGATTTACGGCAATGTAGAAATTAATTTCATATGTTCGGGTTTCAAGAATACAAAGTTCTTTGCAAGCATATTAAGGGTGGCCACTCAAGCCAAACCAGTGGAAGAGCACGTCAGATTGCATTTCGTGGTTCAAAAATATCCCTAAGAAAAGTAATAAAGTGTTCATTAAATATGACATTAAGAATTATTACTGCAAAGAGTTTATTAGAGGTCGTAGATAAACTAAATAAATATTAAATAAAAGAACGCACCTTTAGAGACAAGTAAAATTAATATTTACAACCAAATATAAATAATCGAATGTTAACAATCAACATTATAGATTGTCAAAAATCTGCATCTGGGCATACAATTATTCCAACTCAATATTCCCTAGAATAATTTGAAATATAACCGTTACCACCCACCAAAATAATCGTTATAATGATACAAGAAACTACCCACAATGCATTAATGGCTTGTATATATAAACAGTCGAGCAAAAAGATAACACATAGTCTGACGATTCCGTTTAGATTGTCGCATTTAGATTTTGATATCAATGTCCCCTTTTATATTTACATAAACTTTATACCTGATATTGAGAACTTTGACTCATAAATATAGCTCAACTTAAGGCTATATTCTATTATATATATATATATATATATATATATATATATATATATATATTTCATTGAATACGCATCAACATGGTATACTTGAGTATAGTACGAGAGTTTATGGTCAGTTTGTTTTACGTAAAAATAGGATGTCGCACTATACAAAGGTAATATTTTGAAGAGGTGACCAGTTACAATATACACAGATAATTTTTTCTAAAGGATTTAAAATTCATGCTTTTGGCACGAATAGGGGTCGCGCTATAAATGAAGTTGTCTTATACACGAGTACATACGGTATCTCTAGTTGGATTAATCTTTTTTGTGAATATCACAAATTTCGGCTGTTGTGGCCTCCGGCACTCTTCAGGTGTCTGACGATCCAGGGAATTTCGAACTGAAGTGTTTATTTAATTTACAGGCTAGATTTTTATCGAGCGCCTGTGTTAATTTAGGGATAGACAAGCCAGTTTCTTTTATTACTACTCACTGACTGCGAATTTTGTTTCTCCTCAAATAGGTCTATGCCCGTAATTTTTCTATATATAAACACACGATATTGAGCACTTCTTTGTAAATGAAGCAATTTTCACGCAATACACACAGGCACACACACACGCATAGATAGATAAATAGATAAATATTGAAAAGACATATAGGTAGATATAAATAGACAGATATAGATAAAACATGAGACAGACAGAACATGAGATAGATATGAACAGAATGCGATAGACAGATAGATAGATAGATAGCTAGATAGATATAGATAGATAGATAGATATATAGATAGATAGATAGATAGATATGAACAGAGATAGATAGATAAATAGATAGATATGAACAGAGATAGATAGATAGATAGATAAATAGATAATGAACAGAGATAGATAGATAGATAGATATGAACAGAGATAGATAGATAGATAGATAGATAGATAGATAGATAGATAGATATGAACAGATATATATATATATAGATAGATAGATAGATATGAACAGATATATATATATATATATAGATAGATAGATAAATAGATAGATAGATAGATTGATAATAAGAGGCTGATATTGATAGATATATAGATATGAAGAGGCAGGCAGTTGCGGGGGTGTGATAGATAGCGGTTCGGAATGAGAAATAGGAGCTTCTATTTCGAATTTCAATCAAGTTCATTGCCTTCACTCACTGAGGAAAATGCCTTTGAGAAAAGTTTGTATCATCCTCTTCCCTCATAAATAGGATAAATAGTGATAATTCTGAATACAAAAACTTGGGGAGGACTGTTTGGAGACATCTTATTCTATGTGCACCAGTTCACAAGAGTTCCGTGTGATTATTTTCCACTCTACAACCCCTTTCGGGCAGACGATACGTCACATGGAAAATGTCTTGATTAGCTTGTCCCACCAGTCCTGACCTTTGCAGACAATTCCCGCCAGACCAATTAGACTGGAATGAATCACCCTCATCCCTTTCATATTCCATCAGTAAGAAACTTCTTCATACAATCTCTGCCCGAGAAAATTCTTCTTTAGGGAAACGACGTCCCACCACGTGTTGATGATTTCCCGTTTATTACAATCTTAATCTCGTCAAATCTAGAGTTAACCGTCATCTCTCCCATATAATCTCCTAAACTTCACTTCCTACCTCCTCTTCTTAATCTCATACACAGACATTTAGTAACC